TCTAAGAAGAAGACGTGTTTCTAGGAAGATTCCCCCCCTCCCCATAAACCCCCCTCTCTCGAGTAGGGGATCGACTACAGAATTCATGTACCCCAAAAACTGATCTGTTCGTCGAATCTACGAGAAATGCGTACCACGTTCGAAGATCTACGAGCACGATGCGAACTTTGTTTGTACACTCGACGAGAAAATCAAGTTTTGGGTAAACCACTTCTGCAGTCGATTCCCGGCTCAACCTTTCACGTGGCCGAAGCCAGGCGGAGGAGGCCACGGCTCATGTTAGGTCGGGCATGTCCTCCTGCAGGCGGATTTGGGGAGCAACATGCAAAGTAGCGTTTAAACAAAGATGCCCCCAAGTGGCCCAAAATAGTCGACAAATCGTCCCCAGGCGAGTTTTCGACTAGTTTTGAAAGATCCTCTTGTAGGGGGACTAGTTCCAGACTATGTTTGAATCTTCCCCATACTATTTTTAGACTACGTTGAGACGATGCTTCGAAACAACTGAGAATATTCCTCCTGCATAGGGACACGCCCGACTCAAGTGAAGGGGCCCTGGGACACACAAATCAATCCACGCACATAAAAAGATTCCCCATATTTTCCCAAATTTTCTGGGTCTCTGTCTTCCCCCCCACTTCCCATATTTTCCATATTTTCGGGGGAATCGACGATTAATTGTGTCTGTGTTTTTTCCCCTCCTGATCAAGGCTCCCGGGCTGCGCCGCGTGCCGTGCTCTGAGCGGGGCACATGAGTAGCCGGCGGCGAGCGCACGAGGCGGGCGGCCTCTCTTCTCCAAGGCGGGCGGGAGGCGGCAGAGTGCCGCTGCAGGAGAGCCCAGGAGGGCTTGTAAGAGACCTCTCGGAAGCTCGGAGGGCTTCCACAACGTCCTTCTCCACCTCCTCCTCCTCCTCCTCCTCCTCCTCCTCATCATCATCATCATCAGCAGCAGCAGCGACAGCAGCAGCGGCAGCATCAGCATCAGTATCAGCATCATCGTCGTCATCAGTATCAGTACCAGTATCAGTACCATCATCATCATCATCATCATCATCATCATCATCATCATCATCAGCAGCAGCAGCAGCATCATCATCATCAGCATCATCATCATAATCAGCATCATCATCACCACTACCACCACCACCACCACCACCACCACCATCATCATCATCATCATCATCAGCATCAGCATCAGCATCAGCATCATCATCATCGAGGGCGCCTGCCTTCTGAGACGGCACCGCTGCATTTCTGTAGCCGAGCAGGCAGAAGAAGAGATCAAGCATCCCACCGGTTGCTTCCACGGGCGCCGCCCTCCAGGGAAGGCACCCTGCCGCCTCAGAACGCCGCCCCCCGCGCGCCAGCCCCTCTGCGCGCGCCGCCGGAAAAAAACATGTGCCGATGCCGCTGCTCGGTGGACCTCCCGGGGTGCGTTCTGACCAGGGTCTCGAGGCGAATCCAGCTGCGGCGGCCAGGGATTGGCAGCAGTAGAGCGGCATCTCTTCCTCCTTCCCGACGCCTGTGCACGGCCCCAAGCTTTTTACCAAACGGCAGATCCCAGAAACCCTGGATTTGTCAATACTTGAAGGGGCCCTGGGACACACAAGTAAATACACACAAATAAAAACATTCCCCAGATCTTCCCGTATTTTCTGGGTGTTTGTCTCCCCCCCCCACTTCCCATATTTTCCCATATTTTCTGGGGCATCGACGGTTAATTGTGTCAGTGTGATTTTTCCCCTCCTGAGCTTTACCAAACGGCAGATACCAGAGACCCTGGATTTGTCAGTACTGGCGGCCCGCTTTTTCATCGCTGCCCCACTCTCGCCATCGCTCGGACGTCCATTCCCTGCGTTTTGTTTCGGTTTCGTGCGTGGCTTTCTCGCCAAATGATCAAGGATGCTCCTCGATGGCCCTCGCCGAAGGAAAAATGCACACGTCCGAGCGATGCCAAGTACTCGGACCCCCTTCCGCCGGCGGAGCCGCCGCCGTTTCTGCCTCCGACGGCTGCCCGCCCAATGGGCGCGGCGCGCCGCATCAGCGAGGCCCTCTCTGGAGCACCCTCGGAGCCCTTTTGTCCTCGGCGGCCTCCGGCGCGGAGTCGAACCAACATGAAGGGGCCCCAGGACACACAAATACATACACACAAATAAAAAGATTCTCCATAGTTTGAAACATTTTCGGGGTTTCTGACTTCCCCCCCACTTCCCATATGTTCCATATGTTCGGGGGAATCGACGATTACTTGTGCATGTGTGTTTCTTTCCCTCCTGACAACAACACACACCCATACCCATAGAGGGCTACGGGTGCGTGCTGCCGGATGGGGGCCCCCGCCCGAACGGGAGCGTTCCCCAGGGTCCGACAACCCGCACCGATAATTACCCATATCCAGTCCTCCTCCCAACGACCTCCCTATGGGTATGGGTGTGTGTTGTTCGTTCGTCAGGCTCGGAGTCCTCGGTCCCGGCTCCCCGTTCTGATTTCGCATGGCACGCTGGCGTCATTTTGGGGGGAGTCCAGGTCCGCTATGACACCCGCCGGCGGCGGACGGAGAAGAGGTCGGCGCAGAGGGAGGGGATGGGCGGGAGTCGGCTGCACGCAAGAGTGACCCTGGGGAAGAGTGGCCTTTGGTGCGCGGCCTTTTGGGGGCCGGGGGGGGGGGGGCAAACTCAAGCGCGCAAGGCGCTACTATCGCATCGCGTTCGGCGCTCGGGGGACCCCAGTGGACCCGGACCAAATGGTCACTCCGGCGAAGGGCCACTCTTGCGTGCAGTCGACGTGTAGTCGACCCATTAAGGTCACCCCCCATCCCAAACCCCCGACGTCACAATTGTTTCATGACGCGACCCCCAGAGGTCCGGACCCATCTCCTGGGGACTGGCTTTTCATCCTGAATCGTTTCTCGACGGCCCCGAGGCCCGGTGAGGGCCCCCGAAGGCCGAAAATAGCGAAAAACTGCCCGTCGTGACTTTTGTTCATGACTCGAGGGGGCCTGGGATTACCACCCGCCCGATCCACCCCTTTGAGCAGGGACCGACCGTCCCGGCATTCTTATAGTCCTACCACGAAATGTTCTTAGAACCCAAAAATGTTCTAAGAACAAAAACAATGTTCTTAGAACATAAGCCCGATGTGCTAAACCACGACAATATCCGCCAGAAGTGTTCTAAGAGCATCTCGTGGAAACCACAAAAGGGTTCTTAGAACACTGCTTGCTGGGGCTATAGTTGGAAGCTTGGAAATTGGCACCAACACCAACATCAGGGGTTGCCTCCACGGGAGGAAGATGATCCTGGATGTTGGTGTTGGTGGTAATCTTGCGGCCACCTAGAAAACCAAATATTACCACCATCCCCTGGATCGGGATCCTCTTCCCTCGGTGAAAGCACGCCGCCGATCTTGGTGTTGGTGCCAACCTCCAGGCCTCCGACATAGGCCAGCCGGGACGCTTCGCCCCTGCTTGCATCCACCCCAGACCACCGACGTCATGATTTTTTCGTGACGCGGTCCCCAGAGGTCCGGACCCCTTCCCTGGGACCGCTTTCTCATCCCGAGTCGTTGTTTGACGGCCCTGAGGGCCGGTAAAGGTTCCCAGAGGCTCAACATGGCGAAAAGCCGCCCGTCGTGATTTTGTTCGTGTCTCGAGGGTGGTCTGGGACCCCTGGTCCTCGTCGGACTCCGGCTCGAAGTCCTCGGTCTCGTCGTAGCGGCCCGAGGGGCTCCCCGCGCCCGGCGGCGGCTGCGGAGCGGCCGCGGCCTCCGGGGCCAGTGCGGGCGGCCCCGCGGCCGCGGGCCGCTCGGCGTCGCGGCCGGCCGCGCTGGCCTCCCGAGGGCGGCGCGGGCTGCACTCCGCGCGGGGGGGGGGGGGCAGATCCAGGCCCAGGCCCAGCCTTTCCCGGCTTGCGGCCTGCGGGGGCCCTCCGCCCAGCGCCGCGGCGGGGTCGGCGGAGGTCGGGGGCGGGTTTCGTGTGCGGCGCCGGGGTCGGGTGTCTGGGGGTGGGTGTCGTACAAACTTGCATCGATTTCTGGAAGAGCCACCGTGACCAGGGTGGGGCCTAAGGGGATAGGGAGGTCATAAGTGGATGTTAGGGTGGATTATGTGTATGTGTGTATGTATTATCTATATACACATATATATATATATACATATATATATATATACATATGCACATTCACGTATGTCCGAATATAGCTTGTAAGGAGGTCACCCAAGCCACTGAAAGCACTTGTCACCCACTTAAAGGTAATTTCGCGCCAAATATCACCCACCGCAGCATGCACCCTTAACCCCCCATGTCTCCCTGGCAGCCGCCGCGGTGATCCCACTGAGCGATGGGTTTCCTCCACATTTGAGACCGTTTCTAAAAGAGCAGGTGTGACGACGGTGGGCTTCCTGAATTTTCGGCCTTCGGGTGCAAAGTAATGGGGGGGCAATGCATTGGGGGGGCCGCGAGGGCTGGCGAAAAGGAGCCCTTGGGGCCCTGGAGGGGCCTTTCAGGGCCCAGAAGGGGGCCTCTAGGGACCGAAGAGGGCACCTTTCTTCCCCCCCTTTTACACTAGGAGCTCGACCACAAGAAACCTTCCACAACAAATCCAAGCCTGAGACCCAGGATGATCCTCGATGGTCCTCGTGAAAAAAGCACACGTCCGAGCGATGCCAGGGCCAGGGGGAGTGAGGGTCTGTGTGAACGTGGCTCAGCGCCAAGCGTGGGGGGCAACTTCTGGGAGGCCTTCGCAAGACCGACTAAAGGCTACTAGGACAGATCAGAAAGCCCGCGACCTCGGATATACCAGCGCGCGGATGCTCAAAGGTCACTACACCGACCTTGCAGACGTGCTGCAGCGGACTTCCGCGTGGATGCTGGCCAATGCAAGACACAAAACGGCGAGCGAAAAACGGAATGAATCTCACGTCGACTTGTAGTCGTCATCCCTGGCCAAGAGAATCCCGCACGAAATTCGCATCGGAATCCGGAACCGACTTCTCCAGGACACT